TGATCGCCCTCCGATAGAAAGCTGCAAGGAAGGAGCAGAGCTGCCCCAGAGAGAAGCTGTGGGAGCTACCACCGTCTGCAGTGCTGCAAGGGCAGAGCCACCCACGCCCATTGGAGTTCACAACTTGCCCACAGATTTCCGGGGATGCTGGGAGAGGAACCACGGGACTTAACGTTTGCCCTGCTGGATTTTGGTCTTGCTTGTTTCCCATTCCTGTGTATCCTCCCGATTGAAACTTTTGGAATGGAAATGTCTATTTTGTGCCGCTGAATGTTGGGTGTTTTAACTTTCTTTTCGTCTTGCAGCTAAGAGTTTGCCTTACATCTCAGAGGGGACTTTGGACTCGGACTCTTCAGCAATGCTCATACTGCTAGGGCTTTGACAACTCTTGGAGATGGACTAAACGCCTTTTGCATAAAGGGATGGGCATGAGTCTTTGGGGTCTAGGGATGGAAAGTTATGGCTGTGTCTAGATGTTCCCCAAAGCCTCATGCAGTCACAGGTGGGGCTTTTTCAGAGGCAGCTGGATCTTGTTGGCTTAGCAATGAGAGAAAAGTAACTAAAAACCTTGCAGGGCAGCCGAGTGTGGAGGCACACACCTGTCATTACAGCACTTGGGAGACTGAGGCAGGAGGATCCGTACAAGTTCCAGGCCAGCCTGGACTACATGGCTGTAGGGAACAGGGAAAGGGGACGTTACTAGAACCTCTGCAGTGAGTCCTGGTCTCCTGTGAGTCACGGCAGCACAAATCAAATTACAGGAAAGGGAGAAAAATGGGAATGAGAAGAAGCTGAGCTTTGGGTCTGATCAGTGCTGCTCTGGGCGGCAAAGACGAAAACCCCCAGCTTACTGCGCATGGGGAGAAACAGATGAAACAAATGACTTGCAGAGAGTTCAGTACATCTGCGTAAACAAGATGTAAAATCCAAGGACAATGAGGAAGTGAGTAGATGAAGATTTTGTTCCTCCCAGGATGTCTTTAGCTGGTGTACTCTGGTCCTGGAGCATCCCAGTATCACCGGATCATTGAGGTCTCAGTTGTGACGGGGCCAAAATGGAATTCTGTCTCGGAATTCCATAGCTGGGCTCTCGGCAGGAGAACTAGGCTAACCAAATGATTTTCCCCAAAATTGTGTAGCATTGCTCCTGACACATAGCAAGACCCTGTCTCACTAAAAACCAAACCAAAACAAAAAACACCCCCAAAAGAAATAATTAAAACAATAATCATTAAGGAGGCAAACCCAGAATAGGAAGAACCTGCGTCAATCTGGCTGTGAGCATCCCCTAACCCCAGGGCAAGCCTCACACTTTCTGGAGAGTCCCGAGCCTGGCTTTGGGCCTGCAGGGGCTGGGCAGGAGGAGACCAGCAGCTCCAGAAAGACGGGGAAGACACTGGCATGATAGGTACTGAATTCCTAGCTTCAAACCTGGAGACTTAGGTGTGGAGATGAAAGCTTGTTATCCCAGCTCCTTGAGAGGCTGAGGCAGGAGGATCTCAAATTCATGGCCACCCTGGACAATTTAGTGAGACCCTATCTTGGAAAGTAAAACATAAAAGCCAGGTGTGGAGGCTCAGGCCTGTGGTCCTGTTTGCACAGAGCCTGAAGGCAGGGCTGTACCTCCAGAGGTTGGGTGGCAACCGCAGAAGCTGATTAGAACAGGTTCATTGAGGTAGAATTGCCTGCCAGAGGATCCACCCACTTAAACTGGGTAATTCAGTGGTGCTTGGCTTCCTAGGCCACCCATCCTCCACCTGACATTTTTCCCATCCCCAAAAGGAACCTGTCTCAGTTACCTGTCACCTCCCATTTTCCCTGTCCCCAGCCCCTGGCAGCCACTCACCTAACTTTCTGGACTTGATTTTATTGGTGCAAATGTAATTAGCCTTGGCTGGGTATAGTGGCACACGCCTGTAATCCCAACACTTGGGAGGCTGAAGCAGGAGGATGGCCTTGAGTTCCAGGCCAACCTGGAAACAAAACAACAAAAATATCCTGCAGCTGGGACAGGTCTGGCTGGGTGGGAAGGGGCTCCTGGAGAGCCTCTTTGGCGGCCAACTGGTTCCAAGGCTCTGCTAGCAGGGCAGACAGGCAGGAAGCAGCAGCTGCTCTATTAAAGGTTTGCGCTGCTTCATCCAAAAGGTGCTCCCTGGGGTCCCCAGAGAGAGCCTGGCCCACCCAGCCTGGTCTCCTGATTCTCCTTCCTTGGAGACACAGAGCCCAGACCTGCTCTTGGCCAGGTGCAGCCCAGGAAGGCAAAGCAGGCTCAGAGCTGGGGTCAGCTGATGCTGCTGGCTCTTCAGGGCCCTTGCACTCAGCGGGGGCCCAAGCTTCTGCCCCAGAATGACAGGGACACTGAGGTTTCACTCAGTCCAGCTCCTCGATTCCTTTGGAGGCGAAGCCCAACCTGTCCCGACATGTGGGCTGTTCCTGCCCGCCTTCCAGGCACCAGTGTGCGAATTTAGGACACGCCCAGTCTCCACCCGGAACATCACAACATTATGGTGACCCACAGCTGCAAATCCAAACTCTCCTGGCTCCAGGAGACACCCAGCCCCTGGGGTTGTGCAAAGGGCCTGTGGCCAGAATTGGGTCCTCCTAGCTAAATCCAAAATTTTCAGCTGGGTGTGGTGGTGCATGCCTGTCATCCCAACACTCAGATCACCACAAGTTTGGGGCCAGCCTGGATGACACAGCGAGACTATCGGAAAAAAAAAAGAAAGGAAGAGATGTGGGTGGTCTGGGTGTGGGTGCCCAGACCTCCAGCCGTGGGGATGCTCACTGGGCAGCGGCCTGTGGGCGCCGAAGCGGGCAGTTTCAGGGCCCTGGATTGTCACTTTGGCCTGTGACTTGACGCAACACATCCTGGCCCTGGGTGGGAGGAGGAGGTACCAAGACACTGGGGTTTGGCCTCCTTTCCTGCCATCCGCAGCTCAGCCCTGAACTGTCCTCACAGGGAGGGCCTGGGACGCCACTGGCTCATCCTCAACCTGCCTGGATATACCCTGCGCCCAGGGAACTTGAGGGTGCAGAGGGGAACCAGGTCCTGCAGAGGCCCCATGGGACGCATGTGGCCACCCTGGTCTGCTCCGAGGCAGACAGATGTCCCCTGCAGGGACCTGGACGGCAGGCCCCTTGCTGGGGGCTGAAAGGTCTGGGCCTTGATGGCCCCCACTGCAGCCGCTGCAGTCAGGGTTGGAGGCTGCAGATGCCTGTGGGCCAACGCTGAACACCCATGCCTGCTCTGAGAGCGGCTTCCTGCTTCCACCCTGCAGCTCCAGGGTAGGACAGAGGTCATTAGAGCCACAGCTTCTGGAGCCAATAGGTGAGCAAGTCACCGTGCACAGTGCATTGCTAAAAAAGAAAAGAAGAAAAGAAAGAAACAAATAAAAGAATGCATTGCTGTCACTCCTGGTCAGCAGTGCTAGATTGCTTAGTGCACTGCCAGATGTGGTTGGAAGCCCAGGCAGCCACACGTCCACGGCCAGGGACCCCCAGTGATGGAGATGGGGCTGCTGCTGTGGACAGCAGAGCCCTCTGAGCTCTGCTTCCAGTGGGGGTCAGTGGGGACAGCCTGGGGCCACCCGTGTGCAGTGGGGCACAAGCCTTGGCGCGCAGCACAGACACTGGCTGAGTTTTTAGAGTTAGGAACAAAGCAAAAGGGACCAGAGTTGGGTGTGGTGGCACACACCTGTCATCCCAGCACTCTGGAGGCTGGGGCAGGAGGATCAGAGAAGTTTAAGGCCAGCCTGGGCTACATAGTGAGACCCTGTCTGGAAAAAGAAAAAACAAAAGTAAGATAATAAATTTGTGTGTTTTTGGCTTTTTGCAGTCCAGGGATGGAACCCAGGGCCTCATGCACACTAGGCAAGTGCTCTGGCAGCCAGCTTCCCCAGCTGTCCCCTCAGGGCTGAGCTGTCTGCTTCTCTATCAGACGAGATTTGCACATAGCTCCTCGTCCCCTGATGCCTCCTGTCCACCCTTGAGATCATGCTCTGTGGAGCATAGGGGTTTTTCACTCTGATGAAGTCACGTGTGTCTGCTTCTCCTTTGTTGCTTGGGCTGTCACTTCTAAGAAACCATTGCCTAAGTTGAGAACGTGGAAACAGAAGTCTGTCTGCTCACCCTCATCCTTTGGCCTTGTACATAACTAGTTGTCCCAGTTCACCAATCAGTGAAGAGACCATTTTTTTTTTTGGTACTAGGGATCAAACTCAGGACCTTGTGCTTGTGAGGCAGGCGGCGGAACCACTGAGCTAAATCCCCGGCCCTGAAGAGACCATTCTTCCTCCACTGAAAGTCTTAGTACACATATCAAAAGCTATGTGGGTGGGCTGGAGTGGGGGCTGCAGGTGAGAAAGTTTGGGGAAGGGTTTGAAAGAAGAGTGGTTTTTTTTTTTTTTCTTTTTGGTACCGGGGATTGAACTCGGGACCTTGTGCTTGCAAGGCAGGTGTGCTGCCACTGAGCTAAATCCCCAGCTCAGGAAGAGTGGGTTTTGATCAGGTTCCACTGAAATTCCTCGCACTCCCTAAGAGGAGGCACCAGATGGATAGCTGGGTTCTGACTCCAGACTGGAGGTTCCCAGCTACTACGGAGGCTGGGGCAGAAGGATCACAAGTTTGAACCCAGCTTGGGCAACGTAGGGAGAACTTGTCTCAAAAAAAAAAAAAAAAAAAGCGCTGGGGGTGGAGCTTGGTGGTAGAGCACCTGCCCTCCAGAACTAAACAAAGAGGGCTGGGGACGCAGTCCCGGACACAGGGACTTGTCAGACATGGCAGGTGGTAGCCCCTGGGAGGAGATGGGGAGCAAACCGCCAGTGAGAGGAGCCACAAAACAGTTCCAGGAGAGGAGTTGTGAGAAATGCGAGACATGCATAGGAGGCCAAGGGTGCCAGTTAACAAAGAGGCTGGGAGAAAAGGAGCAGGAAGTAGAAGCAGCGACCACAAACCCTTTCATGCCTTTAGTGGAGGACAGCAAGAAAGCACAGGTGCATTAGTCATGTTTTTGTATTTTTTAATTTTCTGAGACAGCCTCACTATGTAGCCCAGGCTGGCTTTGAGCTTGTTGGGATCCTCCCGCTTCAGCCTCCCAGGTGCTGGGATCACAGGTGTGTACCACCATGCACGGCTAGAATAGTAATTTCTGAACGGAATGCAGTCTGTGAAAAGGTCATTACAAGGTCCTTATTACCCATTTCTCCACTGACTGACCCAGTGCAAATCACTACATTTCTTAGTCAAACACAGCTGCTCGCCTCTCTCCTGATCAGAAATGCTCCTCAGAACCCAACACTGAGGTCTGTCCCTCTCCCCTGGGGTGTAGGGAAGCCCTGCTCCTCTGTCTCCTCCAGGCTCCCTGCAGCTGCACCCAGGGAGACTTGGGTGCTGGGAGCATGGTCCTCGCTTCTTCACTGTGCAGACTCCTGGCCAGCACTTTTCTGGGCACACTGTCTGGGCAAAGGCAGATTGCACAAGATCGAGGAAAAGGCACAAGCTACAGATGTCAGACTGGCAGAAAGGGCCTGGCATGGTGGGCACAGCTGTCATCCCAGTACTGGGGAGGCTGAGGCAGGAGGATTGCCATGAGTTTGAGGGCAACCTGGGCTTCAGAGTGAGACTCTGTCTCAAAATCACACTCACACACACGAGACTTGTTTTCCTTAAACATATTTTTGGTTGAGGGCACCTAACCCAGTGCTTGAAATGAAATTCTTTCTTGGTGGATAGCTGAGCTTAGCTGCCCCCAAGATTATGAAGGAACAGCATGTCCAGAGAGAGCGGCCAGGTGAGAAACAGATGCGGAAGCCTCGTCCATGGCCGCTGTCTGCTCCCTTGTAGGCTGCTAATCCAGCAGGCTGCGCTGGGGAGTTTCTAGTCCAGCTGCCTTGGTACCCTGGGCGTCGTATCCAGCACCCTTTCCCTCCATGGATACCAACATCCAGGGATGCTCCGTTCCCTCCTGCAAGGTGGTGTTAAGTTTTGTAGATTATTTTTGATATAAGGTCTCCCTATGTAGCCCAGGCTGGCCTCGAACTCTCGGCGATGACAGGCGTGCGCCACCACGTCCAGCTAAACCGTGATCTTGAAAGCAGGAGCCAGGTCAGTATCTAGCTTATTGCCCTGACTCTAATAAGTCTTATTTGTCAAATTCACAGCACAAAACACAGAGAACGGGTCCCACCTCAGCCGGGGGAGGAGCACAGAGTCCTCATCAGTACCCAGCCCGGGCCCTGGTCCCTGAGCGCTCGCGCATGCGCCATAGCCCTCCCTGGCTGTCTGTGCCCGCCCCCTCTGCGGCGGCCAGCCAACCGTCGCTGTGCTCCACTCACGGACACGACCCCAAAGCCACTCGGAGCCAATCAGCGCCCCGCACTGTCTCCAAGACACGCCCCAAAGACCTTCCCTCAATGGCTAAGGATTGTTTAGGGGTTACCAAGGCAACGGCGCTGCCCATTCCACCCTCCTCCACGGGGAGAGCCAGGCTCAGCCTAAATCCTTCCAACACTCCCCCAAGCCCTGGTCCCCCTGGGTTCCCTTCCTACTGCTCCCTCATCCTCCTTAGGCGGCATCACTAGGGCTCCCGCCCCCTCCTCCAGCCCAGGGTGGGGTTCAGATCCTCCCACTTGCTTGTCTATTCTCTCCATCCAGTGTTCTGGGCCTAGAAGATGCCAGTATAGGGCTGAGTGTGATGGCTCACGCTAGTGATCTCAGCATGCAGGAGGCTGAGGCAGGAGGATCCCTGGGAGTTCAAGGTCAGCCTGAATTACATAGGAAGACTGTCCAAAAACAGGTGGTGGTGGGGCCTGGGAAATGTAGCTCAGTGGGAAGGCCCTGGATTCAAACCTCAATGGTACCAAAAAAAGTGAGGGAGCTGGCACATGGTTTTCCAGTGAATAAAGGATGTTGGGTGATTGTCTGCCCTGAAGTACATTCCCAGTCAGAGCGATTCTCCTCTGGCCTTTAGAACTAGTGGACGGACATCCAACATGTGCCAGGTCACAGGGAGTGGAGGGACCCCATGGGGGACAGGGGACTGGAAACTGATGCTGGCCCTGCTCAAGAACAGGCAAAGCTCGCTGATGAAGGAGCCCGGATGCCTGGCTTCGGCATCAGGAAGTAACAGACTAAGGGGCGGCCACAGGCAGCAGCGCACCCACATAGAGGGTGCTAGGGAGCAGCCTTCAGAGAACTCAGGCTGGTGGGGTCACTGGCTTTGGGGACCAGGAGACAGAAACCAGATGCCACCTGGCAGAGAAGGAGAACCAGATGGAAAAGCAGATGGGACAAGATCCTAAGAAGCCAGGAGTGCTGGTGCACTCAGGAGGCCGAGGCAGGAGGATTGTCGAGAGTGGAAAGGCCAGCCTGGACTAGAATGAGATCCTGACTTGAAAAAACAAACAAAACAAAAAGGCCCAAAGGAAAACCTGAACGGTGCAGATGTCAGAGTGCTCGGAGCAGAGGGACACAGGTCTGGCTTTTGGAGCCTACAGGAATCGGTTGGCTGCTGAAGTACCCAGGCTGCCATGTTCATCCTCAGGCCTTGAGCCCCACAGAGGCATCTGTCATGAGCATGCGCCTGGGAAGGTGTGGGTGTCACCTCCGGAGATTTGAGGATATCCGGCAGCCTGGTCACTGTGTAAGTGTGGTGCTGGGGACGGAGCACTTCCCATGCTCTGCCATAGGGCGACAGCCCCGCCCCCTCCACTCAGTCTTGCTCCTCATGAGTTAGGGATGGCTTTTTCCCAATGGGAAACCCAGAGCCATTTAATACAGAGGACCTTACCTGTTTTGTTTTGAAACAGGGTCTCACTACCTAGTTTAGGGTGCCCTTGATCTCACTGTGTGGCCCAGGCTGGCCTTGAATTTGCTGTGATCCTCCCGCTTCAGCCTCCTGAGGGCTGGGATCACAGACAAACGCCACCGCCACCGTGCTGGCTAGAAATGGATCCTTTAATGGTTTAAGAATTTGCCAAGGCTGGGCTGGGGCGGGGAGCTGTGTGGTAGTATACATGTGCTCCACTCTCAGGACCACAAAAAAATAAGAAAAAGATGTGTCTTCTGAAGTGACCTAGGTTCAAATTCAGGCTGCTTTTCACCACGTGCATCTGAAGCAGGGAAGCAGCCCTTTGTCCTCAATGTGAGGTGGCTGCAGGGCAGAGTCCACCCCCCAACCCCCCAGCCTGGCCGGGTGCAGCTCTGCGCTGCATGACGGGCGTGGGCACCTGAGGCTTTGGGGGCTGTGGGCGAGCTGAGGGTGGGACTCACTGTGGGCTTCCCAGGAACTTCTGTGCCCTTTTCAAGCTGTGTAGCCATGGACAGATCTCAGCCTCTCTGAGTGACTCTCCTCTTAGGGAAATAAGCGGAAGACTTGAGCCCCAAGAGGCAGGGGGTGCTGAGTACTCAGCAGTGCGGCTGGCACATCAGAAGGCCTCCAGGAACGGGAACTCAAATCCTGCACTGGCTACCCGCAGAGGTATTCTGAATGTAGGTGTGGGGTTGGTGGTGACACAGAGACAGCCAGACGCGAGACCTTTAACAATCTGGACTCAGCCAGGTGTGGTGGCACATGCCTGCCATTCCAGCATGCAGGAGGCTGAGGCAGGAGGATCACTGTGAATTCAAAGCCAGCTGGGGCGACACAGTGAGTCCAAGGCCAGCCTGGACTGTACAGCAAGACACTGTTTCAAAGAACCAAACAAATACAATCGGGACTCAGAAAAAGGACACAGAGAGGCAAGAGGGATTGAGACTTGGGTTCACTCCAGGTTCCAAAGAGGGAGACCTCAGAGGCGGAAGGAAAGAGACGCTGTGACAGCGACAGCCAGCCGGAGCCAGTGGAGGGTCAAGGACAGCTGAGACCCGCGGAAGCTCCTGCTGAGCTGGGCCTTGCAGGCAATTCCAAGACACGGCGCCGAGGACTCTGAGCTGGTGACAAACACGTGCTCTGGAGACCTGGAGGCCTCGAAGGGCCGGCAGCCTCGCCCAGCTCACGCTCGGTGCCCTCAGTGTCTGCTGGAGCAGGAGGGACGCAGGTCTCCTACTTGTTTTCTGTCACACTGGGTCGATGGACCAGGAGAGCCCATATCCGACTCTCTCCTTTGCTTTTTGAGACAGGGTCTCGCTATGTAGCCCAGACTGGCCTTGAACTCACTTCGATCCTCCTGCCTCAGCCTCCCGAGTGCTGGGATGACAGGTGTGCGCCACCAGGCCCGGACAGACCTCACGTCTTCTACCCATCGCATTCACAACACCAGGTAGGAGGAGCTGGCCCACAGTGGTTACCGGGATGTGCAGTAAAAAAACCCCATGTCCTTTAAAAGACCCTAAAACCTGAGATGATCAAGAAAGAGCTGTATTCCTGCGCCCTGTCCGACTCTCTCCCAGGTGCTTAGAGATCATCCGAGTCCCTGGCCCCAGGCTGGCTGTGTGTGCCTAGGAGGCGGCAGCGTGGCCAGCCGTGGTCCGCCCGTCTGTCTGTCAGGCTGGGCCAAGCCCAGCGCACCGCTCCCTAGGGTGGAAGGCGGCTACAGGGTGGAGTCCATGAGCGTGTGGCCATTCTCCAGAAGCTCGAGGCGCGTGCTGGCCCCGCTTCGGGCAGAGGCTGGGGCTTGTGGGGACTCCTGGGCCGAGCGTCGCAGGCACAGGCAGCAGAGCAGGCGTCGGAAGGTGCGGCGCATCTCCACGTCCCGGCAGGAGTACACAGCGGCATTGACCAGTGAGTTGGACTCGGCCAACAGCAGGAAGTACTTCTCCACAGCGAGGACATTGCAGGACTTGCAGTCCAGGCCATCGAGGAGCAGCACCACCTGGCCTGGTGTCCAGCAGACCACGAAGGCCCCTATGTGAGGGAGGCTGCAGTGAGCAGGAGCCAGCAGGCCAGGCGGCTCTGGAGACAGCACAGGTCAGCAGCTGCTATCCGTGTGGCCAGAACCGCTGAGGGCACCTTTCCTAACTGCTGCAAGGTGGCCAGGGCTGGGGGCTTCTCTGTGGAGATTTACTCAGCAGGGAAAAGCGGGCACTGTGGGATAGGCTGGGTACTGGGGGGGGGTGTGACATTAGCAACAGTCCGTCCCTGTCCTGGTAGCCAGAGAGACCACAGTGCCCCCTGCCAGAAACTCGTAGGAGCCAGGCAGGGTGGTGCACACCTGTGACCCCAGCTGCCAGGGAGGCTGAGGGAGGAGGATCACAAGTGTGAGGCCAGTGTGAGCAACTTAGTAAGATCCTGTCTTGAATTTAAAAAAAGAAAGAAGGAAGGAAAGAAAGAAAGAACAAACCTGGGCACTGTTGTACACTCCCAACTATCTAGGAGACTGAGACAGGAGGACTGCAAATTTGCGGCCAAAATAGGCAATTTAGTGAGATCCTGTCTCAGAACTGAAAAACCACCTGTAATCTCTCAGCATCTAGAAGGCTGAGGCAGGGGGGTTGTAAGTTTGAGCCTAGCCTGGGCTATTTAGAGAGATCCTGTCTCGAAGAAAAATAAGAAGGAAGTGGTGGTGCACATGTGTAATCTCAGCATCTGGAGGCTGAGGCAGGAAGTATTCTATGAGTTTGAGGTTAGCCTAGGCTACATAGTGAATTCAAGACCAGCTTAAACTACACAGTGAGGCCTTGTACCAAAAAACAACAAAAAAAGCAAAACCAAACATAGTAAGCGTGGTGGTGTATCCTCGTCATAGCCCAGCATTAGGGAGGCTGAGGCAGGCGGACTGTGAGTTCAAGGCCAGCTTAGACTACATAGTGATTTCAAGGCCAGCCTGGATTACATAGTGATAACCTGTCTCTAAATAAATAAATAAATAAATAAGGACTGGTGACATAGCTCAGTTCACTCACCAGGACTGCAAAGGACAAAACGGGGCAGGGTGCTGGGAATGTAGTTCATGGGAAAGGAATGCTCCCCCGGATTTAATCCCTAGTACCAAAAAAAAAAAAAAAAAAAAAAAATTTAAAAAGGCCAGGGATGTAGCTCAGCTCTGTAGTAGAGCATCCCTGGGTGCAGTACTGTAAAACAAAACAGAACAGAAGCCGTGCTAGAGTTTCCTACGGAGCAGAGAAGGACACTGTCCCTGTCTGAGGCCTTCAAGGCCTTGCTGACCCTCCCGCTCCAGGCCACCCTACAGGTCTGCCCTCCTTGGAGAGCTGGCCTCGCCCTGGGTGTCCACCTCTGTCCCCCTGCTTGGGATGCTTCCTCTGTCCTGTGGGGAGGCTCACCCTCACCCTTCCCGCAGTGCCAATGGCCCCTCATTCTGCTCCCTGTTCCCAGGGCATCCGGAGGTCCCACTCACCAAGGATGATGACCACGGTCTTGACCAAGCTGAGTGTGGTCTCTCGGTAGCGGGGGTGGCAGCTGACGTGCTCGGCCATGCGCTGCACTCGCCTCCGGACGTAGAAGAAAATGCGGGTGTAGACAGCGACCATGAGGAGGAAGACCAGCAGGCTAGACAGGGCCCACACAGCCAGATAGGTGCGGCTTAGCAGGGGCGCCATGCGCGAGCAGCGGTCCAGGGCGCAGAGGCAGTGCCAGGAGTGAGCGGGCAGCAGCCCCAGGCCTAGGGCGGCCACCCACACGCCCACGATGAGCAGGACCACGCGACCTCGGGGCAGGCGGCTGTGCAGCTGCACGGCCATCACGCTGCGGTGCCGCTCCACCGCGATGGCCAGCAGGGTGGCCACTGACGCCGTCAGGCTGGTGTCCAGCAGCCCCTGCCGCAGGAACCAGCCCTTGAGAGAGAGCCGGGCCGTGCGTGGGCCAGTGTGGAACATGAGAAAGAGGTAGGCCACGCCGGCGAAGAGGTCGGCTGCGGCCAGGTTGCCAAGCAGGTAGTAGATGGGCTGGTGGAAGCGGCGATTGGAGGCGATGGCTGCGATCACCAGCAGGTTGGTCAGGAGGACCAGCACGCTGACGGTCAGCCCCAGGGCCACCACCACCACATCCTTGGGCCGCCAGTGGGAGCTGAGCTCCTTGCCGCTGTTGTTGTAGAAGAAGCCAACCGTCTCATTGTAATGGCACTGGCCCATGGTGACTGTCTGGGGGCACAGGAGAGAGACGGTCAGTGTAGGTGGCCCCTTGAAGGACACAGGCAAGGCGGCACCTGAAGCACAGCATGGGGACAGCAAGAATCTGGGTTGCAAACCCAGCCGGCTCTGAGCAAGGTGGGGACGAGGGTGACCTAGAAAAAGCAAGTTCCTGGGGCGTGGGTGTGGGGAGCAGCCGTTCTTATCTGCTAAGGAGACTTTATGAATGAGCTCTCTCAAATCAATGGCTCCCTTTAGTTTTTCGCCTGGAGAACCCAAACAAAACGCGTCCACAGACCCCCTCTCGCCCACACGCTTCCAATCGCTGGGCACTGTGGCTGGGGGTTCGGGGTGACACGGCGGGCGGGAGTCGGGTGGGCGTGGGCTCTGTACACGGAGCTCCCCGGGCGTGCGGGGAGGGAGTGCAGGGGACCGGGAATCGGGGCGGTAGGGCGGAGCGGAGCTGGGCGGCCAGGTTTGCGCGCGAGCACTGGGAGGCAGGCGGAAGCCGGGCCGAGCCGGGTGAGCCCGAGGTACTCGGCGGTCTGGGGACAAAGAGGGCGGCGGGAGAGAGAGGGGGATGGCGGGGCCTCCGGGCGCCCCGGCGGGGGAGGGGCTGGGAGGAGGAGGGGGCGCGGCGCTCTAACCCGGCTTCGCACGCCCCGACGCCGCGGAGCTGGCCTTACCTGGGCCACTGTCAAGCCGCAGGCCAGGCGGGCTCGCGGGGGATCACGACCGGCCGGAGGTCCATAGCCCTGCAACCTCGGCGCGCAGGGCTAGGTCCTGAAGTGCCGAGCCCGCGCCCAGGAGGTAGGGGCGGGGTCAGAATCCCCGCCCCCCAAACCCGCCCCCGCCCTGCCCCCGGAAGGAGCCAACGGCCGGAGCCTTCGGGAAGCCCCGCCCCAATACCACGCCCCCTCCAGAGTCCCGCCGCTCGGGACACCTGGGAATCCCTCCCACTCAGGCCCTGCCCACCCAGGCCCCGCCCAGGATGAGGCCCCCGCTCCCCAGGGAGTCTCAGATACCTGAAGCCCCGCCCCAGGCCCCTCCCAGGAGCTGCCCGGGGGCCCCGTCCCGCCCCCTGGGCGAGTCCAAGCGCCCAGCCGCGTCGGAGGTGGGATCCCACGGAGCCGCAGCCCCCCATTTCCTTCCGTTCCTTCCTCTTCACTTCCTTGGTCACTTCCGGCTCGGGACCCCCACCCGCAGTCCTTGCACATCTCTCGTGCACACGACCGGAGAATTCCCGCCGAGACCCCGCGCCGCTGCACCCCCGAGGCCCCGCCCCCTCCCCTGCGCGTCCAATCGGCCCCCGAGCTGCAAGCCGCCCGACCGAGATCTGGGAGCGCCGGTCTCCACTCGGGCTGAGCGGCTCCCACAGCGCGGCACACAGCCCCATTGTTTGGCTATCTGTGCCTGGCTACATCTGTGATTACACGGGGCCAGATGGGGATGCGGAGCTCCGGGCCCAGCCCTGACCGTCTGCAGGCTTTTAGGGTGCCTGGGCCTGAAGAAGGGGGCCTGGGTTTCCCTTGTGAAAAAAGAGGTGGCAGGGGTGCTGCTCTGGCGAGTGCCCTGTCACCCTCCCCTGGCCAAGACAGACACACGAGGGATGCAAGACAGTTTATTCAGAGGCCACCAGACCTGAGTGCCGCCAGGAGGTGTGGTCTGGGTTGCCCGGGTCAGTGAGGGGACAGGTGGGGGTGGAATGCTCACTACTGACTTAGCAAGAGGCACCCCTGTCCCCAAGTCAGAGTCTTTGGGTGGACCCCAAAGATCTTGTGACCTGTATTGACCTTGAGTATGGACCCCAGAGACCGCTGACCCTGAGTGGCTCTGCTGCTTGAACCATGCTTCTGGCGGCAAGTTCCTGGGACACCGAAATGGCTCCCAAAAGCCTTTTAGGGCTCCCCCAGGCTGTGCAGTCTTTCCTTATGGGAACTCTGAACTTCAACCTCGAACTTCCGCCTGATGTTTGAAAGCTGCCAAGCAGGGGCCCTGGCTCCATCCTTAGGATGTTGGGGTGGTCACAGATGGACCTCAGCTTCCTCAGGCTGGGGGTCTGGGCAGCAGGTGACCCTGGGGACAGCCTTGCTGTCCAGCTTGGAGAGAAGCTGGGCTGTCTCCTGGGTGATCTTGAAATTCTTGGCAAGTGGGGTGCGGTGCAGGGGGCTGCCCTCGCGGGAGGGGGTGGCCCGAAGACTTCCTCCGGGTGCTGCAAGGACAGGAGCCTCCTCACACAGCTTGGAAGCCACCAGGGCCAAGCCTGAGAGGTGCTGGGTGACAGGCCGCACACCCCCGCGGGGATACTTCACTGGCTGGCGGCTGAAGTGACCACGGGACTGGGTCCCCAGGAGTGAGTCCTCAGGGCCTTGGCTGGGCACTGTGGGGTGGTCAGTGCTGAGTACCCTGAGCCTCCCCAGGCAGGGCACCCCTGGGCCTCCCGAGCCACGCCCCAACGCACCTTCCCCTGCTCTGTCTTTCGAGTCCTCAGCCTCTCCTTCCCTTTGGTCACTCTGCATAGCTGCAGTCTGCAGGGAGAAGCTCGAGGGTGAGATCCTGACAAGAGAATCCCAGTGCTCCAAGACTCTTGGAGATCCACAGGTTTGTTCCCGGACACACAAAAGTTCCTTGCAGTTTGACACCTGGGGGTAAACAAGGTCCTTCAAAGTGCACTGCTTAGTGCCCGGCCTGGTGGTGCGCACCTGTCATCCCAGCGCTCTGGGAGGCTGAGGCAGGAAGATCGCAAGTTCCAGCCCAGCCTGGGCCGCTTAGTGAGATAAGGTCTCAAAAGAAAATATTCAAAAAGGCCTGGGGATGGAGCTCAGTAGGAAGGCCCTGGTCCAGCCTCCGCGGCCTCTCTTTCTACCGATTCTCCGTGCAGGACTGTGCTCTGGACAGACTCCAGGCTCGTGTTCATATAGGGCTCACTCCACGTGCATGCCCTGGGTGGATCTCTCCAATCCACCTATTCTGTAGGATCTAGGCACACGACACCATCAGTGCTGCCAACTCCCCTCTTCCTCATCCCAGTGACCCTTGTTCCACCCCTTACCCATCTTCCTCTCCTCCATCACGCTCGTCACTGTCATCTGGTAACATCCTACATAACTGATTTGTATTTTCTTTCTCTCTCTCTCTGTCTCTCTCTCTTTTTTTTTTTTGCAGTACCAGGGATCAAACTCAGGACCTTCTGCTTGCAAGTCAGGAGCAGTGCCACTGAGCTAAATCCCCAGCCCTCTCTCTCTTTAAGACAGGGTATCATTGTGTCGCTCAGGTTGGTCTTGAACTCCTGGACTCAAGAGATCTTCCTGTCTCAGCCTGCAGAGTGCTGGGATAACAGGCACACAACACTGTCCCTAGCTCGTATTTATTGTTTATTGTTGGTCTTTGCCCAACACTTTTCCCCCACTAGAATGCAGACATCGAGAGGATAAGACCTCTGAACCTGTCACCCACCGATGCATCTGAAATGCCTAGAACAGGCACGGTAGGAGTTTAGTAAATATCCTGGTAAAGAACGAATAATTGGGCTGGGGATTTAGCTCAGTGGTTTCGCCGCCTGCTGCGTGCTGCGCAAGCACAAGGACTGGAGTTCGATCCCCGGTACCAAAAAAAAAAAAAAGAAAAAAGCAGAAAAAAATGAATAATTGCCAGTGTTAGATCTCTGTACCACTTTCCTGGTTCTTGCTCCATTGTTACCATCCCCTTACTCCTTGAACAGGTCGATGAGGAAGGGAAGAGAGAATGGAAGAGATTTCTAAAGGGAAAGGAAGCTAAGAGAGTGAGAACTAGAGATCCCCTTGTTCCTACCTGGGAAGGCGTGGCCTCAGAGGGCGTGGCCTCAGAGGGCGTGGCCTCAGAGGGCTTCTCTGGGGCACTGGGGCACTTCAGGTCTGGTCCCAGGTCCTTGGCCAGGGCTGGGGGCTGTGGGGCTGGTGTAGGAACAGGGCCGGGGCTGGTTGTGAGGGGCCCTGGGGCTGAGCTGGGGTCCTGGGGTAGGGCCTCAGTGGCCAGGGGGAGCTCATCCATCCCGAAGATCTGCTCGTAGTGCTCGATGAGGAACTCGACAAGCTGGGCCTGGTGAGCGGAGTCCAGCAGGCAGGTGACAGGGCTGGCACTGGGGGCCCTCGGACAGTTCGGTGGCCGCAGCAGCGTTGGCCCAAATACGATTCCCAAGTTGTTGGCAGACATCTTGTTCTCTTCAAACTGCATGGCCACCCTGGGGATGGAGCGAGAGGAATCAGGGCATGGGGTACAAGACCGTCATCGGTCGAGGGTCAGGGGAGGACCTGCTGGCCAGCCTGAGTGACTTGCTCTTGTCATGGGTAAGTGGTTCTGGTCATCATTTAAGACCAGCAGACAGGTGTCCGGAGCTGGGGGTCAGGGCACTAGGGCTTGGGGCCTGGACCTAAAGTTACAAGTCAGAAAGCATGTCAAAGGTCAGAGGTCAGAGGTCAGCATCGGCCGCAGAGGTCAGCAGTCTCAGGTCCAGGGAGGGGGCCCCATTTGAGGGCTCAGGGACCAGTGCCCACCTGAACAGATGGGCCACCAGGTGCCGCAGGGTGTTGTAGTTAGAGTCAGGCAGCTGTCCCAAGAGGGTCTTCAGCGAGCGGATAACCTCGGGACTGGGGCTGGGGGTCCCTGGGCTGTCCCCAGGGTCTGCATGCAGGGTCTTAGCCAGAGAGATGAAGGCATCGTAGAAGTGGAAGGGGACCACGGGGTCAGTGAGCTGGGGGTGGAACAGGCAGGGGGATATGAGTGTGGGCAGCTGTCTTTGGCCTGAGTCCGTGGCCTCTCACCCCAAGCACCCACCTCCTGCAGAAACCGCTTGAGGACGCCGGTGACGTCGTGGGGTGAGTTTCCCGAGAGCTCTACCAAGGCACGGCCATTCTCAAAGGCTTGACACAGACGCTCCACACGGACTCGGGACCCGCTGACCCGGTAGATGCCCTGCGGGCGAGGGGAAGGCCATGGACCTGTGACCGCTATTCATAGGGGAGGCTCACTTTGGGGGACAGTCAAGGGTCAAGACGGCACCTGCACACCCAGGGCGCGGAGCTCTATTTCGGCCGTGCACCTGGTCACCACAAAGGGAACCTCCTCTGGGAAGTCCCTGGGCAGCTGCAGGAAGTCCACCCCAAAGAGGGGTGTCCGGGCTGGGAGCCGCCGGTGTCCGCAGAGGATCAGCAGTGTCTCCAGGCAGCGCTTGTGGCAGGTCAGAAAGCACTGGCAAGAGGTAACAGGGAAGGGACCATCATGGGGGAAACAGCAGGCACGGGAGGGCATCCCATCAGGGAGGCCGCCGGGGGGCAGGAGGTTGCTGGATCTCAGGGATGGGATGGGTCACGAGGTCATCAGCCTGGGCCACACCTCTTCACACTCGGTCCCGCTGACCATGAAGGCTTCGCACTCACGGCACTTGGCTGGGCCCCGTAGCCGGCGCAGCCGGTGGGTCTGAGCCGCGATGGAGGGCGTCCATTTCCGGAAGGGGACTCCTAGCCCGTTCTCCAGCCCATCTCCCAGGTCTGCAGGGACACAGGGTTAGGGGTGCCTGGTCCACCTCCCTCCCTGCCCTGCCCGCTGCCAGCCTCACCTGGGTCTCGATCCTCGAAGTCATCTGAAGACTCGGTGCCTGTGGATGCCACCTTCATCAGCCGCCGTGTGCTGGAGCCTGGGGTCGGAGGGTCACAGAGGGTGGAAGGTGGCTCACGGCTCATGGGGAGATTCCGTGATCCCCTTGGGAGAAGGGGTCAGGGGCCAGGAGGGACCAGAGAGGTCGGAAGTTGAAGAGGTCAGGGGTGGAGGAAATGGGTCAGGGCACAGGGTGGCCAGAGGATGAGCCAGAGGCCAAGGGTCAGACCTGGCCAGGGCCAGGAGGGTGGCCAGGGGTGGCTGGGACAGGTCGGGCCTGCCTCACCTGGGCTGGAAGTGGGGGAGTCCACGGAGCGAGACTCGCTGCCACCGCCCACGCTGTCCACATCGGTGCCCGGAGCGGGGCCCAGAGTCCCTGGTGGGGGGCACAGGTCAGGAAGGGCAGCCCTGGCCTGCACCACGCCCCCAGTCGCCGGCACCCACCTGGCCAGGCGGCGCCCGCGTCCTCCCAAGGCCCCGGCTCGGCAGAGCTCTCGTCCAGCCGAGGAGGTGGTGGCCCGGAGAGCTTCTTTCTGGTGTCCAGAGGGAAACTGAGGGAGAGGCTTTGAGGGTTGGATCCCAGGAAACTGGGCGACGACACTCAAATGCCACCTCCTCCAAAGACTTGGGTCTGCCGGCCTCAATGCCCACGAGCACGGTGGCCCCAACTTCTGACCCTCCCAGGCCGGGGACCCCTCTCCGCAAGAGCCGCGAGGCCTAAATTCCACCGAGGCCCTGGGTTCTCCGACCTCGAGCGCTCAGGCCCAGGGTGCCAACAGCCTGCCTCCCGACTCCGGCTCCCTCCCCTCGTGGAACCTGGGCGCACCTGTACCGGTTGGGCGCAAACTCCTGGAAGGAGAAGGCGGGTGGCGGGGGCGGAGGAGCCTCAGGCTGCAGTGTGCGCACGAACTCCTGGTAGCGCTGGCCCGGCTCAAAGGGTGCGCAGCACTCGGCCAGGGCGGCAAAGGAGCGGGGGCCCCGTTCCGCCTGCTTCCTGTGCAGCCCAAAGAGGACCAGGGTCACCTGCGGGGTGGAGACAGCAAACAGTGCAGGGACTGGGAGGAGCCAGAGTGGGGCGGGGCCTGAGCCTTAGAGGAGGGCTTGGGGGCGGGGCAAGTCAGGGAGGCTACTTAAGGAAGGAGGGCCGCCCTCTGCTCCCAGGCTTGGTGAGGCTCGGGCCCCAGGGCTGCGTTCTCCGCGCAGGGTGAGTCAGGGTGAGTCCTGGGACCCCAGGGGCTGGCCTGTAGGCCGAGGGAAGGTGGCCCCGCGCAGGCCCAGGCCTCACCCGCCTCAGTACTTCGTCGCCCTGCAACACCAGCTTGCGCACGTGGGAAACGATCCGCTGCTTGGCTGTCTCCAGGTCCTGCTGCCGCGCGTTGGCCTCCCGGACGCAGGCCTGGTACAGCGCCTCGGCCTCCTGCGCCTGGCGGGACGAGGCCAGGGAGAGGCGCGTGTGGGAGCGAGCAGGGGCCCGGTGCCAATGCCAGGGGGTGTAGCTGCGGGTCTTCACCTTGACCTGGGCCTCCTCTCGCGAGCGTCGCCTCCGCTCCTGCTGCTTGCTGGGCCCGGGGGACCCCTGGGGGGCCAAGTCCTCGGGGGACCCCTGCAGTCGCGTCCTCAGGTCCTCGCAGCGCTGCGTGTACTGGAGCTGGGCCCGCCGCAGCGCCTGCACCGCCTCGTTCTGGGGGTCACGGGGGCGAGGCAGTCAGCAGCCAGCCTGCCTCTCTCAGCCTGCTGCCCCACCCACCCAGGACCTCACCATGCGCTTCTGCTCCTTCAGCCACTGCTCCTTGAACTCCTTCCGCCACTTCTCCACCTCAGTCCTCTTGGCAGCCAGGGGCTGGCAAAGGTGGGGAATGGGGATGGCCATGGGGCCGAGACCCCAGGGGCACCCCGAAACCGTCCTTCCAGTCCTCAAGCCCTGGCGCCTTTCCTCCTGGAGACCTTTTTTGCTTTTCTGAGACAGGATCTTGCTATGTAGTCCAAGCTGGCCTTGAACTTGCTACACTGCCCAGGTTTGGGTTTGAACTTGTGATCTTCCTGCCTCAGTCTCCCAGGTGCTGGATTACAGGCAGGAACCACTACCTGGCTTGGTCTTCTTCCCTTTTTTTTGAGACAAGGTCTCACTATGTAGTCCAGCCTAGTCTTGAACTCAAAGGGATCCTCCTGCCTCAGCCTCCCAAGGGCTAGGATCACAGGTGTGCATCACCACACCCTACTCCTCTCTTCTTTTGTGGTGATGGAGATCAAACCCAGGGCCTTGCTCACTACCAGAGCTACACCCTCTTCTGAATATTTCCTCCAATCTCCTCGCCTGGGCTTGTTCTCCCCAATCCCAGTGTCCACACAAAGGGCCTCAGTGTCACCCTAACCTTTTCGAGGGCCTTGGACAGACCGAGGTTTTCCTTCCCCAGAACACGCAACATTCAGGCCCCTCTTCACAAACAAACAAGAGCCCAGTTTAGCAATCACACAGGAAGCCAGGCCTGAATCTCTGCTGGGTAATCTTGGGCAAGCTCCGGACTCTCTGGGCCCCTGCTTCCTCCTACGCAAAACGGCACTGATGGCGGCAGTGACCTCTTCCCAGGGCTCAGGGCGGGAAGAGCAGCGGGCTTCCTCTCACCTGGTAGTAGTCTCTCTTCTGCTGGGCCAGGGTCTCCAGGGCCTGGGCACCCAGGTTGGAGTCGTGCTCCAGGAACAGCGTGTAGATGTACTGCAGCGGCATGTGGCTCTGCGGGGGGCGGTGCAGGGTCTGAGGATCTGGGGACAGGTGGGGACCGGGCTGCCTGGGCTCTGGCAGGCCTGGTAGTGGTACCTGCTGCTGGATGGATGCCTTGCCGGCCTCAGCGATCTTCATGATGTTCTTGGTGAACTCCAGTTCTGGATAGGGGGAGGTAGCAGGTGTCTGCTCGAGGGGGTTCGGTGCCCGCTGGCGGCAGGGGTGGACAGAAGGGGTCCTCACCGTAGCTGGCTCTCTTCTCTGTCCACGCCAACAGCTCCTTGGCATAGCGGCTCCACATCTTGGCATACTCCAGCACGGCGTCCACACCCCCCTTGGTCCGAATGAGCCGCAAGTCCAGTTCCTCCCCTGGGCAGATGTGAAGACCCCTGACCTCTGACCCTGCCCTCCCAGGGAAGCCTTCCCCGAGCCCCAGACAGATGCCCCTGTTCTGCCCCCCACAGCACCCCAAAAGTCCCCTTTGGGGATCACCGTCCTGGTTGGTTTTGCAGAATCACTATTCTGACTGGGGGCTCCCTGAGGGCCAGGGCTCAGATCTGCTGTGTCGCCTGCCCCTGAGCAACTCCTGGCCCGAACAGGCTCGGGGTGCCTGGTGTCCCTTTCTGTCCCCAACATCTTGGCCTCAGAGCCCCCTACCTGTCAGGGGCACAGGACCTTCTGAGGATGGACGGCCCCAGTGGCTGGCGTCACTGGTCTGGGGGACATAGGAGACCGCATTCAGCATGCCGTCCCCCCGCCGAGGCCTCTCCTCCCTGTTGCCCACAGCAGCCTCACCACAGTGGCTGGGGTGGCCTTGCCAGGCTCCGGGTCTTCCAGGAGTGCAGTGTCTCCAGCCAGCACCTCGAAGTTCCTGGAGTAAGGTGTGAGGGTCTCAGCTCCACCCAGTCTGTCCTGTCAGGGGTGGGTGGGGTGCTGGGACCCTAGGGTGGTTTGGGCTTGCCCCTGATGTGACCTGTGTGCCATCTGTTGTACCTGGGAGGTGTGAGGGATAGGATTTTAGGGGAGCCAGGTGAGGTCATCTTTAGGACTTGCAGGAGTCTAAAGGTAACTGTGGGGTTCATAGGGTGGGATATGGGGACTCAAGTGTTTTAAGGAGTCGCTGGAAGGGTATGTGCAAGTTCTAGGGCAACTCTGAGGTTGCATCTAACACACCTGGGGTGCCGCCCGGACTTCTCTGGTTATTGGGAAAAATGGGTCCAGATGTTGCAGGTTTCAGGTGGGGCACGTGCTTCAGGGCACTTAAATAGGTCAGGGTTTGGGTGACCCAGGCTCAGACTCACACGTTCCCCAGCGAGATCTCGAGGTTGTCCAGGCTCCGGAAAATATCGCTATACCTCTTCCTGCCCTCGGGAGCCGGGGGGAGCCCTGGGAAGGGGGTGTGATCTTGGCCCGGCCGCTGCCTCCCGCTGCCCTCTGCACCTGAACCAGGCTCATGGGTGGGATGGGAAAGCGGGGCCACGCCAGGGACGGGGGGTGGGGGGGGGTGGGGGCGGGGCAGGAGCGGGGCTCTGGTGGGGCCAGTCAGCCGGGAAGGTGAATCCGGACGGCCGAGCAGGCAGCTGAGTAGGGAGCAGCACACCCCGCCAGGGCAGGGACTGGAGCCCCAGATGCAGCTCTGTGTCCCCACGAGACAGAGGGCGCCGGTGACAATGAACCACATGGACCCCGGGCCAGACAGACGGATACGCACGCGGGACACCCAGGCACGAGCCTGCGGCATAAACACAGGGACAGACGGCAGCCACGAGGGACCTCGGGCTGCATGACACTCGGCGAACAGCACAAAGACAGCCGGAAACGCAGCCGGACCCCGCCGGCTTCCGCGCCCCCCCCCCCACCAGCGCCGGCTGCCAGGGCTGGGACCGTGGGACCCCAATGCGCTCCCTGTCTCTGCGGCCCCGACACCCTGCCCCCATCTCAGGGATCAGAAGCAGAAGCGGCCACTTCCCCTTCCTGGGCCGCTTCCCCCGGCGTCTGGGGTGCGGGGTCAGACGGAGCTGGGGGGCCGCGGGGTGGGGTCCCGGGCCCTTTCTGTTCTGGGGGTCTCCACCTTGGGACCCCCGCGTGCTCCCCATTCAGGTGCTCACTTCCCAGCTTTAGGGATGGAGAGGGGCAGGCGGGGCTTCCCAGTGTAGGAAGTGGGAACGGCCGTGGGCGCCCCTGATTCCCGGGCCCCGGACTCCTTACCTGGCTCCGGGGCGTCCATGGCCAGGCGCGGGGACAGCTCGGCGGGGGCGAGCTGGACGGGACAGCTGGGGGCGCGCGCGGCGAGGACCGGCTGATTTCCTGCCGCCTCCAGGGCTCCGCCCCGCCCCGCCCCCGCCGACCACGCCCCCGCAGCCCGGAAGCGCGCTCTGGAGCCCAAGCAGACTGACACCCGGTCTGGCCCGGTAACACGGGCCCCGTCCAGGCAGGCTCCCTCCCACAGCTTCGTGGGCCGCCCCAATGCACGCCGCCCAGCACCCTCTCTGTCCCTGGAGCCCGCCACTCCCTGCGACCTAGTGACCTCGCACCGAGTTTTGCTGGGTCCTGGAACCCACAGCGACCTAGCCCGGACCATGGTGCCCCCTAGTGGGCGCCTGGAGTCCTACACGACTGGAGCCGAATCCGAAGTCCCGGAACTGCCTCAGCCCTAGTGAACTGGATCTGGCTCTTGAGCCCCCACCCGCTTAGTGGGACTGGGAATTGAAACCAAGGCTTTTATACTGCGCCACATCCCCAGCTTTTATATTTTTTTCTTTTGAGAAAGAGTCTTGTAAAGTTACTAAATTGCCCAGGCTGGGCTTGAACTTGGAATGCTCCTGCCTCAGCCTCCCAGAGCGCTGGGATGACGGGTGTTCGCCACCAGGCCCAGCCCAAGGTCCCTTTGAGTGCAGCAGATGGCTCCCCTCTCAGGCGGGGACACAGAAACCCCTTGCTCTGAAACTTCTAGGAATCATTTTGGGGGCGGGGATTCAGCATCTACCTTCCTGTGACTGCAGCCGGAGCCCTCCCAGCCCCAGGACCTGCCTGGCAATGGGTTGTCTCCCAGCGTTAACCCCCCGGGGTGCGTGGCCAAAGCAGGGGCGAGGGCATGCAGGGCACAGAGCGGTGCCCTCCGCCAGGAAAATGCACCCCTCTGCACTGACAGCTTGTGTGGAACTCTGCTGAGTTTTCAGCTGTTCCGGAGGCAAGAAACCCGCAGCTGGCTAGGGCTCCGGGTTATCCTGCTTGCTTCCTTCCCTTTTAATTTTTTTGCCACACTGTGCACTGAACCTAGGGGTTTCACACTGAGCTACACTCCCGGCCCTTTTATTTCTATTATTTTGAGACAGGGTCTTGCTTAGTTGCTAAATTGCCCAGGATGGTCTTGAACTTGAACTCACCATCCTCCTGCCTCCGCCTCCCAGAGTCTTGGGATTTACAGGTATGAAGCGCTGTGTCTGGCTTTTTTTTTTTAAAAAATAGCCTGCATTGATTGATTGATTGATTGAGACAGGGTCTCTATGTAGCCCAGGGTGGCCTTGAGCTCGCAGCAGTCCTCCTGCCTCAGCCTCCCAAGTGCAGGGATTACAGGTGTGCACCACACCTGGCTGCTCTGCTATTCTTGAGTGGCAGTTAAGTGTGAAAGGAAGGACACGCCATCCCACAAGTGATGGCATGCAGCTTCAATCCTAGCTACTTAAGAGGCCGAGGTGAGGGGATTGCAACTTTGAGGCCAGCCTGAACAAGTCCGTGAGACGCTGGGGACATGGTTCTGCGGTAAAGCGCTCCCCTGGCTAGGCTCCAGCCCCAGCACAAATGAAACGGACGCTACCAGCCCTCGGGGTCAGATCTGGCTGTGAGACCCAGGCCAGCGTGGGGTCAGCCTGCACTGGGGCGTGACGGCACCGTGGTCAGGAGCCCGACCAGGGGGCGTCATGAGGCCTGGGACCTCACTGCACAGTGAGGAGCCAGCCAAGGCTTCATGCAGTGCCCGCTACGGTGAGACGTCGAGACAGAAACCACCGCGACAGGGCGCGAGCCGAACAAACCGAGCCGTCTTGAGTTCCCAGCTTGACAGATCGGCCTGTTGGGCAGCAGGGGCTCAGAGGGCACGATCCCGAGGCTCACACCGCCATGGGGCACAGATGAGGTGGACGCGGAGCTTCTTAAAATCTTGGGTGCTGCTTTATTTACCAAAGGTGCTGGCCCGGGGCTGGTCCCGCTAGCAGGACTCAGTCTTCCCCTACTCGGGGTGTGGGGGCTGAGTTCTTTCCCCGGCAGGGCGGCAGCCGGGGTGCGCGGTGGGTACCAGCACCGCTGTCTCAAGAAGGCACTTTCAGCTTTGGGGTCCCCAGGAAGAACTGCAGGACGCGGTCGGCCAGGAGCGCCAAGCAGAAGTCCAGCAGCAGGACCTGGGCGATGACCAGCTTGAACTGCCGGGTGGGGGTGGGTGAGTCGGGGCCGGGCTGGGCTGGCCTGGCCCGGTCCAGCCCAGCCCGGCCCCTCACTCACCTCCACTGGGATGTCCACCAGGCCGAACTGGCTGTTGAAGTCAGGAGAGGAGCCGAGCAGCAGGCCGATGGTGGCTAGGAGGGACACGGCCAGGCTCCACAGCAGGGGCCTGTTCTCGGGCAGGCTCTCCATGAAGGGTGGGCCCTGCGGGGATGCGGGCAATGGCTGTGGGTGGCCTGGACATGAGGGTGCGTGCGGGGTGGGCCCGGTTCGGGGCTGGGCGGCCTCACCTTGTAGTTGATGGCGAAGGTGGCCATCTGCATGGCCATGGCCATGATGTACACAGTGCTGTTGACCAGGCTGGGCTCGAACTCCTTGTAGAGGTCTACAAACTGCTCCTGCCTGTGGGACGCACCAGGTCAGGTCCCTACTGTCCCCACGCCTGTCCCTGCGCCCAGGTGACCCTGGGCTCCCGTCAGCTTCTGTGCACAGGCCCTGTTGCCCACTGCTGCCCACCACTGCCCACCAGGGCGTCACTCACTTCTCGGGACTGCGGGCCTGGGCCTCCCGGTACAGGTAGACGAGGCTCAGGAAATGCACGGCAAACTGCAGCATCACGGTGAGGATGGTGTACAGGTTGAAGATGTTGGGCAGGGGCCGCTCTCGGGACAGGGTCTTAAGGGGCTGCAGCGGCAGGGCCGGGGTCAGGGCCCACTGGCCTCCAGCAGTGATGTCACTAAACCCCAGGAGCGGGGCGGGAGCTGCTGCCCTGGGCCCCAGTGTCTATACTCCCTGTGGCAGCCCAGCTTTGCTTTGTTTTCTTAAGGGGATGGGAACTCAGGGCCTCAGAGTTACACAGGGTCTCACCAACTTGCCCAGGCTGGCCTGGAATGCTTTACCCTCCTGCCTCAGCCTCCTGAGTAGGCCTGCAGACCCACCTTGTGTGGTGTGGGTCTCATGGCACTGCACACCCTGAGCACTCTTGGGGATCACTCCCCATCTGTCCCTTCCTTGCCTGCAGGGCTCTGAGGCTCCCCAAGCTGTGCCAGCCCTGACTGGACCCCCACATCTGGGCTCTGGGCCCCACCTGTCCCTGTGGATGACAGGTCCCACCCACAGACCACACGAGCCAGGGCCCATGCCGCTGGGTGCCCACCTTGGAGCGGGAGATGAAGAGGAAGCAGCCGGCCAGCAGCAGCCCCTGCAGTGTGGCCTGGAAGTCGCTGAACTTGACACCCTCCAGGTAGAGGACGCTCTGGCTGTAGGCCAGGATGAGGGCGTTGAGCGCCAGGATCTTGAACATCTGCAGCGTGGTCACCAGAGTGCAGCGGCCTTGCTTGATCACGTGGCAGACTGGGGCGACAGTGGGGAGTGTGGGAGCGGCCGTCGGGCGCGGGGCGCGGGGCGGAGGGCGGCGAGGGGCACTCACTGCACTGGATGGACGAGAGCTTGGAGGTGAAGGGCGCGGCGATGCTGGCGTCACCCAGCTTCACGATGGGCGTGCTCTCGTCCTCCAGGTCGCGCAGCACCTGGCTCAGGCGGTCCTGCGGGCAGAGCAGGGTCAGCCTGACGGAGGCAGAGAGGTGCCACCATCCCATGCCTGCCCGACTCACCCTCTGTGAGGCTGGCTGCTCCTCGAGGGGTGGGAGCCCTGACCTCTGCCTGGCCGTCCTGGAGCTGCCCCTGCTGCCGCTGTTGCTCAGGACAGGGCTGTCCCGGGCGGGCCGCCGCCGCCGCTCCACGAGCCGCTCAGGGGCATTGGCCAGCAGCGCCACCCCTAGAGGGACGGGCGGGGCAGCGTGCAGGCTCAGCAAGGTCGCAGCCGCTCCCTGAGCCCCAGCTCGGCCCAACCTCCCTGCCGCCGACCTTTCCAAAGGAGCCCAGATGGGCAGTGCCCAGAGTGCTGTGCACCAGCTACTGAGGAAAGCAGGAGATACACAAGGCGCAACACACCAAACGAGAAGCCCAACAGTCGGGGTTAAAGGTATGCTGGCTTCCAGAGACTGACGGCTCCGAGCCTAAGTCTAGGAGGCAGGAAAGGCTTCACTAATGCTCCCGCAAACACAGCAGCCAATGCTGGAAACGCACAAAAACAGGTCTTTGCGAGCAGCGCGTGGCCGGGGTGCTCCCGGGGATGGATGAGAGGGGCCCTGGCACCGAGGGCAGAGCGGCCCTTCCATGTTACATTTTCAGCTGGTCTTGCTACATCTCCCAGATGGGACGCGAATGTGTGATCCTCCTGCCTCAGCCTAAGTGCTGGGTCGCAGGTGTGGTGCTGTGTGAGGCCTCCTGACCACAGCCCCAGGCCGCGAACCACGGGCCGCGGGCTCAGATGCCGGGTTTCCGAGGCCACCTCTCCCGAGACACTTGCGTCCCTCTGTGACTCTGCAGCCCTCTGAGCCCCCTCCCGTCCCCTGCACTCCTTGCTCACAGGAACTGCTGCCCCCACAACTGTCCCTGCGCCACTAGAGCCACGTCTGTGCTCGGGCAGCGACGTCCCCGTGCGGCTCACCCACGTCAGCATGCTTGAGGGCGCCCACGTCGTTGGTGCCATCTCCGCACATGAGCGTCACGTAGCCCAGTTCCTTCAGGCTGGTGATGACGAACTCCTGTGGGCAGATGGGCTGAATGGGGACCTGTGCCCGTCCCAGGCCCCAGGCCCCGCCTGGCTCCACACGCACCTTCTGCTTGGGGGCCACACGGGCGAACACCTGCACGTGGGGAATGAGGTGCAGCAGCTGCTGGGGGTCGCTGGCCTGCAGGTGGGCCAGGCCGTCGCCCGTGAGGCATAGGGCGTGTTCCCGCGCCAGTGCCTTGGGCGAGCCAGGGGCCAGGGGCAGTGCAATGCTGCCGTCGATGGAGTGCCATGTGCACGGACCACCTGGGGACAGCACTGGGTCATGGACAGCTGCTGGCTGCTGTCCTGTGCACTGGCTGCTTGGTAACACCCTCCTGCATGGACTGCAGCCCTGCCAGTGCCCGCCCTGCTCCAGGCACCCACAGAACCCACAGGCACAGCTGAGGCACCGAAGCTAGTGCCTGACACCTCGTGCAAGGTACGTGTGTCACTGGCCCCTCTCTGTAGCTTTTTTTTCCCTTCTGGTACTGGGAATCAAACTCAGGACCTTGCACTTGCCAGGCAGGTGCAGCGCCACTGAGCTACATCCCTGGCCTGACACTGGCCCCTCTCTGATCAGTCCCCACCTGTCACCTGCCTGACACCCTGCTCTCTCTACTGCTAGTGCTCCCTAGTCATCCACTTCCTCTTCCTCTTTCCTTCCTCCAGGCTGCCTGGCAGGAGGGACGCCAGCCTCCTTCGGCTCTGGTCCTGGCTGTTTAGCTGCATTGGCTCTGCCTGCTGGTCCCCAGCTGGGAGGCTGCAAATGCCACCCTGGCCGGGTCCTCCTTGCACCTCCATCCCACCTGGCCCTGTAAACATTTGCCACCTGCAGCCCAGGATGCCCCGTTTTGTGTCCCTGCTCAGGACCCCCACTGCCAGGTCCTGCATGGAATGGAGCCCTGCCACAGTAACAGCTAGTGCCCGGGGAAGGCGGGTTCCCGCCTGCAGCCTGCTTCTGTCCACAGAGCAGGGCCCCACTGCGGACTCAGAGCTGCTTCCTGCCTGGGTGTGGGCGAGACAGGCTGTCCAGGGCAGCTTGGAATGTGTGTGGGGCATGCTGGGGAGCCACACAGGGTGCTTGGCAGAGGTGCTGCCGTCGGTGCTGAAGGAGTGGAGTGCCGGGCACCCTGCTGGGCCCAGGAGCCAGTGTGGTTGGAGCAGTGCTGCCAAGGATGGGCAGGGACCCCAGGCTGGCATGACGACTGGCGTCCTGACACCACAGATCGGGAGCCAGTGACCCACATCTGAGGGGCAGGGGGTGAGGCCGGCCCGTGGGCAGGAGCTGTCACTGGAGCAGTACCCAGCACCCCTCCTCCCCACCCTGCAGGGCTCACCCTTCTCTGAGGGGGGGTGCAGGATGAGCGTGTGGGCCTTCTCAATGAAGCGCAGCTCCTGGGCCACGTGGCAGGCGGTGAGCGGGTTGTCCCCCGTGATCATGACCACCTTGGGGACAGGGATGGGGCTCAGCAGGGCAGACCCAGAGCCACCCCGACCCAGGGTGCCCGATGCACACAGCACGGGGGCTGTGGCCCCGAGAGCCCACACTGCCTATTCTTCCCTAGCCCCAGCCTCGGTTCTCTCTGGCAGGAGGTGGTCCAGGGTGCTGGGTGACAGGCCCCGGCTCCTGGGATGCTGGAGGACCTGTGGAGGTGACATAGCAGGAGCCTGTACTATGGGTCCCCACCATTCCCTGCCCCAGGGAGCGAGCACTTCTGCTACGACTGGCCCGGCTGCGACTTGTAGTCTCCTCACTGTCCAGAGCACGAGGCTGGCACTGTCCCCGGCTGCCCCTTCCTGCTCGGGCCTGTACCCGATGTGATGCATTCTGGATCTCCCGGATCACGGCCTTGGAGTCGGCCTTCAGGGGGCAGGAGACCACAATGAAGCCGACGAACTTTAGGCTGCACTCCAGGGCCTCCCGTTTGACCTCCCGGGCCTGTGAACAGACGGGCGCCTCAGCGCACGTCCCTCCTCCCGCCAGACCCTGCTCTGCACCCCCATGGGTCAGGAGGGAGAGAGGCAGGTAGGGGCCAGGCACCCCGATCATGCCTCTCCCTCCCGGCTGTGGCACTGTCCTTCAGGGAGCTGATGACCCTTACCCCCACCACAGCAGGGACAATGTGGCAAAAGCCCCAGGTGCAGGGGGTCACGTGGTTCCAGGGAGACAGGTGAGCAGGTGGGGCATGGTACCAGAGGACCGCATGTGGAGGGGGCGCCCTCAGACACAGCCACCTGGAGAGGGTGGGGCCGGTGCCCTGGGAGCAGGGGCTTTGGGGTGTAGGACGGAGGCAAGGGCCAAGCTGCGGCTGGGGGCCTTGGCTTGGGCTTGGGTGCTGCACAGAGGGGCGGCCTGCCGTTAAGTTCCAGAAGAACCCGCGGCTACGGCGGGGAGAGTGAACGAGGGCCATGGCGGAGGCAGGGGAGGGGCTCTGTGGAGGGGGGACCGAGGCCGGGGCTCCCTGCTCGGCCAGGGCCCGGGTCCTTACCTGCTGGTGGGTGAGGTGGCCCAGCTCCTTGTACCCCAGGGCCAGCACGCGGGCTCCCTCCCGGGAGATCTCAGTGTGGATGTGCTGGTAGTTGGGTGGGCACTGGGCGAACTACAGGGAAGGCAGGGGCGTTAGCGTTCGCCCTGCACCCTGCCCACCCCTGGGCTGAGGCCGGCTCACCATGGAGTGGAGGGTTTCAGGGGCCCCCTTCACGGCTGCGATGTAGCAGAGGTCGGTAGAGCCCAGCTTCTCATAGGAGGCCAGCACGGACATTCGCTTTAGGGCACTGGCAAAATGAAAGCGCTGGTGAATTTTCAGCCCCTGAGTTTTAATACTTCGGGGGAATACTTTCTCATCTGGAAACAAATAAGCAGAGTCCTGAGCGGCTTCACCCCAGAGGCAGCCAGGCCCTGCCCTCCGCCCAGCCTCCCCTGCTCCTCCCCTGCTCCTCCCCGGGGCCTGGTGGAGGGGGGCACCTGCTCTGGCCGGGCAGTCTGGGGGACCCTGGCACTGTGGCTTCAGTGGGGCAGGCTGCACCCTGGCCCAGGGGATGCCGAGGATGTGGCCTGTCCTGGGTCCGCGCTGTGGGCCCGCCTGCCGGGTGCAGACAGCCCAGCCCCTCACCTTTGGTCAGCGTCCAGTCTACGGCCGTCAGCATGGCCTTCTCCAGGGGGTCACCCACCAGGGTGCCGTCGTCCAGCTGCATGAGGGAGTGGCATGAGGCCAGGGCCCGGTGCGTCTCCACAGGGATGCTGGACACGGGGGTCACCTCCTTTCCGTCCCTGCAAGGACGCGGAGCTGTGGGCACAGGCAGGGGCGGCCAGGTGGCGCTGCGCCTCACCCTGGGCAGCACTCTGGGAAGTACTTTACTGGTTCCCAAACACGGCTTGGGAGGAATTGGGTCCCCGAGCCCCGCGCACTGCACGTGGGCGCCACCGCTGGTGCGGACTGGAGGCCAGGCCTGAAATGAGGGAAATCCCGGGGGCAGGGCCTCTGACCAGTCTTTACCCGTGCGCTCGAGCTGGGGTCACCGAACCCGGATCCCCTCTGCCGGGCACCTCCGAGCCCAGGCTCCCTGTCACTCACCTCAGCCCCGCCACGCCACGCACCACCAGGCTGTCACTGGTCAAAGTCCCCGTCTTGTCAAAGCAGCACACCTCGACCTTGCCGGCGAAGGGGATCCGGAAGGGCTCCGTACAGTACATATCTGGGGGTGGGGGCGGCATCAGGGGTTCAGCCCCGTCTGAGCATGCTCCGCCCCCCAGCCCCGCCGTCACTCACAGAGCTTGGCCAGGGCGATGAGAGAGGTGTTGACAGCCAGGGAGAGCTCGATGGGCAGCTCAGGGGGCACGACCGAGGTGAGGATGAGGGTGCACTCCAGGAAGAGCTTGTAGCGGTTCCGGCTGGGGTCCTTGGTGCCTGCAGAGACAGGTCTGCTGGGCTGGGGTGGTGGGGGACACTGGAACAGGGCGGGGGCCCCGGCACTTACCCTCGATCCACACATAGGCAGCTGCTGCTATGGCAAAGACCAGGAGGAAGAGGATGAAGATGAAGGTCTCCAGGTTGTTGGCGGTCACTCTCTTGACCCCAAAGAGGATTGTGCGCAGCAGTTTACCCTGGAGGGAGAGGGACAGAGGCCTTTCCTGGGACAGGCCTGTGGAGATGGCGGCCTCACTTCCTGAGATCACCAAGGCTGGATTCTTTCTAGAAAAGAGCAACGCCTGCCTCAGCCCCGTGAACCACGGACCTCCCCTGCCCCGCCCCGCCCATGGCTGCACCTCAGCCAGGAGTGAAGAAGTGGGTACTTGAGATCGGGGTGGAAGCCGAGACAGGAAAAGAGAGGCGAGCGCTCCAGGAGGCCTGGGCAGCGCCCCGCCAGGCAGCGCCCCCACTCTGCTCAAACACTGTTTACTGGAGCAACCACAACCGGGTGAGGAGAGCCAGCCCCCTGGCCGGGCTCCCCAGAACCTCAGGCTCAGAGTGAGCCGGGTCCTGGGCTCCCTCCTGTACCCCAGCCCTGGCCTTGGTACAGGCCAGTGCTGTTAGGACAAATCCAGGGCCGGAGGGTCTGGGGACCGAGATGGCCAATGCCCTATGTGTCCACCGCCATCCCAGAGCCCACCAGGGGCGGCCAAGGGCTGCACCTGGGAGGTGTTGAATCCGGTCCGCAGGACGTAGGCCACACACCCATTGTCAACCGCTGGGGAGAGAAAGCGCTGGTGTCACCCTCGTCACCGCGTTCCAGAGCCCATGCAAAGAGCAGGTGGGAAGGCGGGGTGGGGAGCGGGGATACCCCGGGCCCTCGAGGCACCTACGCTTCAGCCCCGTGGTGGCCTTCTGGGGGGGGATGTGCTGCACAACCTTGGTGCCCCCGAAGATGACGTGCAGCCGGGAGTCGGCCTGCAGGTCCAGCACGCGGTCTGGGCTGAGGTCCTCGATCGGCTCCTGGGAGCAAGAGACAGATCGGGACGGTGGCCTCCGAGCGGGACCTGGGGCTCTCTGCCTGCCGTCCCCACGTCCCTCATCCTTGTTTTCCCCAGCTAGCTTCGGTCTGCCAACACCCCACGGTGTCTGGATGTGCCCGAGACGCCCGTGCTCTCAACTCCAGGCCACATTAGTGGCGGTTCCCCCTCCACAGCACTGGCTCGGGTCCTCCGTCCCCACCAGTGCTGCCGGGGGAAGGTCCCACCACACCTTCATCTGCGGCACTGACTCCCCGGTGAGCATGGCCTCGTCCACGATGCAGCGGCCACGCAGCAGCAGAACATCGCATGGCACCAGGTTCTCCTGTGGGGAGCGGCCTGCAGGCGGGGCAGCATGGTTGGCCAGAGGCCAGGGCAGCGGCCCCCCACCCGGGGCGCAGAGTGGGCCTCACCGATGGACACGATGTCCCCAGGCACAATCTCATCGCTGGCGATGGGCCTCCACTTGCGACTCCGGTAGACCTGGGTGGGCGGGGTAGCACCAGTGTGGGTGTCCGTGCTGCACCCACCCCAGGCCCCAGCAGCACCCTAACCTGCACCTGGATCATGTGGGGCTTGTTGCCCATCTTGCGGATCTCAGACATGTTCCGCATCTGCTGCTGCACCAGGGATGCCTCGAAAGCCACCAGCATGGACAGCGTGAAGACGCTGTAGTACCAGTACTCGTCCAGGCACCAGAGCCCCACGCAGAACACCTGCGGGATGGGATGGGACACTCGCTGGTCTGTCCCTGCCCCTGCCCTGGCCCAGAAGCCACGTGCATGAAGCCCAAGGACACAGGCAACAGCCGTTCTGGGTTTGGAGGTGGCAGATAGGCTTGCTCAGGCTTTGACAGCCCAAAGGGAGGGGACAATGGACCAAGCTGCCACTTTACCTGGAACACGAAGAAGGGGGCGGTGGCCCTCTCCTTGAAAAGCTCAGAGAAGTCGGGCACCACCATCTCAGCCCTGCAAGAGATCAATGTACAGCCTGTTCCCGGAGGATCCGCCCCAACACCTCTGCCTGGGGACACTGCAGGGCTCCCAGGGACAGGGAAACCATGCAGCTGTCCCAAGCCCCGGGGAGCTTCCACACAGGAGGCTCCACCCAACCACAGCTCCCCTCAGGGCTGAATCAGCTCCCTTTTGTGGCTGCAAGCAGGCACAGCCAGCGGAGGTGGGTGTCGGGCCGAGGAGGGTGCCTTGAAATAGCAGAGGAGACCTGCAGCTGGGCACTGGGGGTACAGAGCTGAGCTCCACGCCCAATGGAACGGGGGTTTTCTAAAAATGCCCTGGAGAAAAGCCCTGGGGTCCCCAGAGCTCGGCCCAAGGGTGTCTTCTAGGGCATGGACTGCATATGGTGGCCCTGTCTAAGGGATCAGCCCACGAGGGCTGCCTTGCTGTGCCCTTGAACAGAAGGGTCGCTCCCAGCTGCAGCAGGGAGCACAGCACGATTCTGCGCTGTGGAAGCCGTCCACAGCACAGGCCTCCACCCTGCCAGGGGCCTGTGCCAGAGTGAGGACGGCACCAGACATTCTGTCCTGGGGCATCAAGGTGGCCAGGCCAGCCTTGGGGCAAGGCAGGTCAGCAGATGCTTCCCCCGGCCTCCAAGTGGCACCCCCAGGCAAGGCAAACCCTTTTAGTTTTTGAAAAGCCATGGAGTCGGGACAGAATGTCTTGGGAGCCCTGCATGTTTCCAGGTTGAAGAGCACAGTCCTGGTGGCCCAAATGGGGGGTCCGAAGCCTGGCTTTACATGGCCCCACCCCAGGTATGTGTTCACAGGGGCAGTTTCGGTGAGGATGAAAGGAGAGAGTGCGTCGGAGGGGACCTCTCTTCACCCCAGTACACTGGAGGCCTTGGCCATCGATGCCTTTCCCCTTGTGCTGGCGATGGAGCCCAGGGCCTCACTCAGGGCACAAGTGTCCTGTTACTGAGCCGCACCCCAGCCCTCCTCAGGGTTTTATTTTGAAACAGGGTCTCACAAGGTTTCCCAGGCTGGCCTTGGACTTGAGAAATCTTCCCAACCCAGTCTCTGAGTCGCTGGGATCACACCCCGTTAACATCCTTCTGTCACTATTTCTAAAGTGCTGAGATATGAACATGCAGAATAAGGAGGGTGGAAATTTGAACAAAAAACTTAAGACAAAGAAGGGACCTGGAAGGGAGGCAACTCAAGGAAGGAGAGCCGACTGCTGTGAGGCGGGGCGGCCCGGCTCTGGCCAGGCAAGTGTGGAGGAGAGCAGGGTGGCACGTGCTCCTCCAATGCTACCCCACTGGCTGGGCAGCCCTGGCCAAAGGCAGATTCTGCCCACTTCTGGGTACCCTGAAGCAGGAGCAGAGCGGAAAGGAAAAAGGGACTGCCGGAAGTCAGGGACTCACTTGTTGCTCCCAAATTTCTTCTCAGCAGCCCGGATGTCTGAATCTTCCTGGAACCCTCTGTGGCTCTGGTAGAAGGAGAAAGCATTTTCCACGGGAAAGGCCACGGGGAGGAACTGCTTCTTTTCCAGGGCGTCGTAGGAGTATTTGATCTTCTGGAATTCGAAGGACAGCACCTCCTGCCCGTCTTCACCCTGCGGGGGAAGGTATGTTGGCGGCAGTGCCCGGGAATCTCTCCCAAGTCCCTGCTCTGGGGTCCCCCGGCAGGCAATCCCTACCTTGTCTCGGTGCAGGGCCACAAGCTCGGTGGAGCCATTGTTGGGGGTCGGCATCACCTTCACAAAGGTCGCTTTGTTGGGGTCGTACTCCTGCCAGACAGGCAAAGCACTGCCACTGAGCCTTCTCAGCTTATGGGTCCATGGCCCCATGGGAAAGGGGAGGGGATGCCACTGGGCTCTGATGCCATTCCTCAGACTGTTGCTGGGCCAAGGGACACCACTTCACTGTGCCTCTGGTCCATATTATAAAGCTGGGGTCATGGAGAGCACCTGACACCCTCGGATCTGGTGACACAACTCAAACAGGAAGAACGATGCCAGGCATCTAGTGTACACTAGGATCACAGCCTACCCGCTCTCCCTCTGCTTCTCGCACACCTCTGCCACTGATCCTGCGCATCCACCTGGAATGTGCATTCCCAGAGCTGGCTCCCCAACCCGAGTGACCCCTGAGGCCTCTGCTTAAATGTGACCTTCTCAGGAGCCCTCCCAAGCTGTCCAGTCTGAAGTTCACTGGTATCTCTGTTACCGCTCTGTAGCACCAACTGCCGAGTGGCAGTTTTTTCTCCCACTAATGCCACAGAGGCAGCAGACTGCCCACTGTCCATGCTGTTACCTAAGACACAGGAAGTACTCCCTCAATTCTGGGAGCTGTATCCATCCCCTGTGGCTCTGCCAGACCCCGTGACGACTTGAGGGAAGGAGGACAGAGCGCAGCACAGCATTGACCCTAACCGCATCCCCCACCTGAGGAAATGCATGAGCCAGCAAGTAGGCAGAAAATAGCCTCACTGAACTCTGAACTTCAGGAAAGTCCTGGGAGAAAAGCATAAGGCACAGAAGTGGTGCTGGCCCCACGGTGGTGCTTTGTGGATGTCACCTCAGCAGCTCCTAGCAGCGGCACATGGGAGGTTAGGTGTTACGGCTCATTTTACAGAGGTGGGAAACTGAAACCCAGAGAGTAGACTTGGTGGCCTGAGATGTAATGCAAACCCAGATCCGCTTCTCCCAACTTAGCTCCTCCCACTCCTCCATCCCTGGAGAGGAAGTTCACCAGTACACTATTTAGCTGCAGACCAGCAGGCAGCTGGAAGTCTTGGGGGCCCACATCCAAAACTCCTCAACTTCCTTTCTTTTATTTGTCCCTTGCTGCAGTCTTCCGCTGTACCAACCAAAGCCATCAATCCCAGAAGTTCCAGCTTTTCCCTGGGATAAGTCTTACTGAGGAGAGAATGAGGACTCAATGCACATTCCCAGCCAGAGAGAAGGACAGCCTCTCTCTCCTTCCTGCAGCCCTGATGCTGTCCCCTGGCCCTCTTCTTGAGGCCAATCCATGCCTGGGATTAGGACAGAGGCTCGTTGGAAGCATACCTCAATGCCTCAGGTTCCAAACTTGGTATCATCTGTATCAAGTGATGCAGTCACTAAATGTCAACTGCCGACTGTGGCCCAGGCTGTGTATCACTGTCACCACCTTCTGTGGTAGCACTCATTCACTCAGAAGCCCGACTGTGGGTCACATGCACTGCTTGGTGCTGTACTCTGATCTGTTCTCACTATCACCACGCTTGTCTTACAGAAGGAGAGGCCAAGTTGTTAAGTCGCTTACAAATAGCTCCTGCTCATCTTAAACACAAAGATTACCCACAGTTTGTGCCCCTTTTGGTGTACCATGGAATGGAGGCTGAGCACTGGACAGCAGCACTTGGTTCTAGGACCAGATTTCATAGGTGGGGGAATCCATCCCACATGGCTGCCTCACACTTTGCAAACGAAGGCAGGAGACAGTGGGAGGGAGGGCAGTGCCGTTTCCAAGGAAACGACAGAGAACCGGCGGCTAAGGAGTCAGCATTACCGTGTCCTATCAGCAACCCAGGCTGGGCCCTGTGAAAGCCTTCTGCAGATATTAGCTTAGTGACCCTAAATGACCACACCAGGAAGGAATTCCAGAGATAGGAAGTACAGTAACTCACATCATGGTCGCACACAAATCAGCAGCGGCGTCAGGACTGAGCCTGAGCTCAAAGGCAGAGGCCGCCGCTGGGGACCCAGGCCTAGCGGACGTGAGGCTCCGGACCGACTGGGGACCTGCGGCGAGGCCGTATGGTGCCAGGGGTCGGGCTCGTGAGCGCGCACTTACCGGGGTGCAGGTGAGCGCGCAGTGCGCGTGCACAGACCAGTGCCCCGAGAGAACGGTGAGCACGTGCGCGAGGCAGATGGTGGCGAGTACCAGTAGCGCGGCCTCGGGAATTTGAGCCCAGCTGCTGCCCCAACCCCAGCAGCCGGCAGCCGCAGCTCCCAGCCAGGCCGGGTAGAGAAGCCCCGCGAACGGCAGCACGGTGAGGCGCCGCAGAAGCGCCAGCCGCCGATATGGCCACACAGCGGCCACCAGCTCATCGCCGCTCGTTATGAGCGCCGGCCCGGCGGCAAGGAGCGCACGCGGCTGCAGCGTGGGTCTGGGCTGACCCCCGGGCCGGGCCCCGCAAGGCCGGACCCCACCGGGTACCGCGTTGCCCACCACCGCCATTTTTCCCAACCCGGCGCTCGCTTCCGGGTGGGGCCCCGCCCAGTTCCGCCAGGCTACTTCCGGCGAGAGCTGGGCGCCGCCATGATAGCCCTGGTAATAGAAAGCTCCTGGGCAACAGAAGCGGCTAAGTCCTGAAGTGGTTAGTTAGGGTGTCGCCATGACAGTCTGTACCCGGAAAGAGCGGCAGGGAGCCGCCATGACGGAGAAGGCCAGAACGGTTTAGGGCGGCCTGGCTGTGCTGCCACGCCGGATTACGACCGAAAAGACGAGCACCACCATGACAACACACCTCCCTGTCACGAAGGGCGGAGCCTGGAGATTGGCAAGGAAGGGCCATTTAGGGAAGGGGGCGTTCAGGGGCGGGCTTGTGTGGAGGCGGGGCTTGTGGGAATGAGTAATATGGGGCGGGACTTGTGAGGGAAAAGAAACAAATCACATACAAAGGAAAGTCCGTCAGAATCACAGCAGACTTCTCAGTGCAATGCCTCAAGGCAAGAAGAGCTTGGAGTGATGTGTTTCAAGCCCTAAAGGAAAACAACCTCCAACCTAGATTGATGTACCCTGCAAAACTATCTTTCAAAATTGACAGTGAAATATGATACTTTCATGACAAAGTGGACCTTAGGAACTTCATGAATACCAAACCAGCCCTCCAAAAAATTTTAGGAAAAAATCCTAGAAAAAGACGACGAGGATCACAACCCCAGGAAGCCCAGCAGAATGAATCCACTAGGCATGACAAGAAATTAAAAGCAAAGGGGGAGGATCAAACAAAAAGAAAAAGTCATGATAATGATAACTCAATACATATCAGTTATAACCATTAATGTTAATGGTCTCAACTCACCAATCAAAAGAAATAGACTGGCAGAATGGGTGAAGAAGCAAGATGCAACAATATGCTGCATACAAGCAACACACTTAATTCAAACAGAAACTCATGGACTGAAAGTTAAATAGTGGAAAACTGTACTCCATGTGACTGGAACCTGAAAAAAAGCAGGAGTAAGTATCCTCTTTGCAGACAAAGTGAATTTCAAACCCACACTGATTAAGAGAGACAAAGAAGGACACTATATCCTTGTAAAGGGAACAATTGAAGAGGAAGGGATAACAATCATAAATATCTGTGCATCAAACACTAGTGCACCCAACTATATAAAACAAATACTAATGGACATGAAAAACCATATAAGCACTAATACTATGGTAGTGGGGGCTTCAATACCCCACTGTCACAAATAGATAGATCAAGTAGACAAAAAACAAGTAATGAAATACTAGAACTCAATCAACCTCTTAAACATATGAACATAACAGATGTTTACAGAGTGTTTCACCCCACAAAATCAGAATACACATTCTTTTCATCTGCACACGGGTCATTCTCCAAAATAGACTACATACTCGCTCATAGAACATATTTAGGTTAGTGCAAAGGAATCAAAGTTATCCCTTGTATATTATCAGACCATAGTGCGATGAAATTGGAGATCAACAGCAAAAGAAACTGCAACAACTTCATAAACACATGGAGATTGAACAACACACTTCTGAGTAACCAATGGGTCACAGAGGAAATTAAAGAAGAAATCGGACAGTTCCTTTCAATAAATGACAATGACAATATAACATATTGGAATCTTTGGGACACAATGAAAGTGGTCTTGTGAGGGAAATTCATAGCAATGAATAATCATATTAGGAAAACAGAGCATGCCCAATTAAACAACCTGATGCTGAACCTCAAACTTCTACAAAGAGAAGAGCAGGACAAACCCAAAGCTCATACAAGGGAGGAAATTATAAAGATCAGGGTAAAAAATCAATGCAATGGAGACTAAGAACACAATACAAAAAATCAATGAAGCCAAGAGTTGGTTCTT